TCCGTTCATGCGCCTCGCGTTGTTGTTTTCTTTTTCTCTTTTTGTGCATTGTTATATAAATATTATTAAAAAGTTAAAATTATTATGATCCCATACACAGCACAGGAGATTGAAGCATTTGAATATATAATAACGCTGTCTCTAAAGTAGGCCTCGTATTCTATCCTTCGCAAAAGTTTCAGATATTCGGGACACCCGAGTCTTATATCATAAAACCTTGTATCATAATTACTGAACAAATACAATACAGTAAATTTATAAAATTCTTGATTATATACTTAAAAGTAATTACTCAGCAAACAAGAATGTATTGAAATGGATTAAAATGGATTTTTTTAAATACAGATTTATTAATGTTAGAATAAATCCTTTACAATTCTGAATGCATTTTTATTTATTTATAGAAATAGCATAAAGCAAATGTTTAAGCCTTTTTAATCCTGAATGCATTTTTATTCATTTATAGAAATTGCATAGAGCATCTCTCTTAGGTTTCTATGCCTTTCAATCTAAAAATAATATTAGCATTTTTTGTGCATAGTGAGTACTACTCAATTCAGATTTGTAAATAGAAAGTAATTTTTTTAATTCAATTAAATTCAAAAATAATATCAGCAATTTCTGTGCAACGTGAATACTGCTTAATTCAATATTCTAAATATAAAATGCAATTTTTCAATCTAATTGAATAAAAAAAGTTTTTATTTAAAAATGGACCATAAATGCTACTTAAATTATTTATAATTATAAGTAGGAAATTTTTCGTTTTAATCTAAGTTCAAAAAAGTTATAACGTAAAAGTAATTAAGCTGTGTTCTTTTATTTCTCTTTGATTAGAAGTAAAATAAATGATTGATGTGAACACTCGCAAACCAAGTCGAACACAACTCAAATATTAGATTAATCACGGTGCGCGATATCGGCGAGATTAGATTATCCTACCAATGTTGTTTCATAGGCCCAATTGCACCAACATTATTTTGATTTTAAGCAAGGTTTAAAACTCTCTTTTCCTCTGTTTCTTTTTCGGCTTTAAAAAGACAGAGAGAGTTTAAGTTTGGCTTAAAGTCAAAGTAACATTGGTGCAACCGGACCATAGTAATATGAATTGTTTATACTTTATTATGTCTATTAAATAATGATATTTTTATTATCTACAATATATAATTTCGTTACTAGTTTAGCTGATTGTAATTGAAGTAGAGAATGAATAACACATTTACCATTTGAAGAAGTGGTGTAGCGGGTAACGTAGAAGATTCATAATCCAGAGGTTCCAGGTTCGAATCGCACTAAGGTGCGTATTTTTAATATCAAATTGAAATAGTTAATTTCAGGTATAATTATTATAAATATTTTAGGAATCAAATTTGTAATCCTTAAATATGAATGCTTTTTTTTGTATATTAAATTAGTGTTAGCTCGAATCCAATCTATTTTAATCCATTCAATCTATTTTCATGGATTTAAAGTACGCATTAAAAAAAGTTTAATCCATTTTAATTTATTCTCGTTTGTTGGGTACTTAAAAACTAACTAAAACTTAATGAAGCAGCGATCCAAAGGCTGGAGTCCTATGTGCTTTCATGAGACATATTTGTCACGTAATCAATAAAATGCGAAACCACAACAGCGAATCGCTTCTGATTGGTTACGCGATTAGGCGATACGCGGCAAATACGCATATGAGACTCCAGCCTAACTCCTGCGACAATAATATGATTAGAATTATGTTCCTAATTGTTAGTCACTAATTGCGTTCAAAAAATGAAGTCAATAATAGATGTAATTATCGTGATAAGTGAGAAATAGAGCGAATGTAAGAAAAGGAGGACAGGAATATAAACGAAGTTTTCAAGAGACGAAAATTGGGAAATGTAAAAATGGAGTTTATGCTTTTTTTGTTTTATTCTCCAAATTTTTGCATCCTACAATTTTTATTTCTGTCACTCTTTTCTTACATTCGTGACTAACGACGCTCCAATTTTCATTTTCCCTCCAATTTTTACACGGAAAAATAGCTACAGTTGCCACAATTGTAGCGTTTGTTAATTTTCGCTTGTTAATACATTTGGTTGTGATAAGATTAACATATCTTAACAGTCATAGCCATTACCTTAACAATTATGATTGTTAAGATAGTCTATCTTACAGTTACACAATCAAATGTATTGATAAGCGAAAATTAACGAACGCTACGGTTGTAACAACTGTAGCCATTTTTTCTGTGTAAAAACTGGAGCGAAAGTGAAAATCGGAGCGTAGGTCGCGAATGTAATGTAATATATGTTTTTATAATACGAGTAATATTATTTATATACTAGTATAAAACCGTCATTTTTCATTCTAAAATGTTACATATCTATCAATAAAACTGCGTTAAACAGTTATAGTTTAATGCGTCGTCTACAATGCACGGAGTAAGAAGTAAAAGTAAAAACTTGACCAATCACAGTCAAATGTGAGAAGAGCAATCGACTGTAAATGATTAATTTCTTATTCTTACGATAACAGTACGCGAAAATAACGAAAATAGACACGAATACATCAAACACGCGCAGATACGAGAACAAACATGAAAATTCGCTAATTCGCCGACACACCCGTCTCCCTGTCTCAGAAGGACCCAGGACGTTAAGATCGCGATTTTCCAATCGGGCCATACGGTCTTTGTGATGGACAAAAACCGTCACGCGCGCGCGTCACACGGTATAACAGTTTTACAAATTAAAATAAACGTTATTGTAATTTTATTTAATGTTCATACTATGTTACAGTAACATTAAATAATGTTACTTTTAATAATCATACTCGTATAATATTATCAGGAGTAGACATATAATATATTAATCTTTCAAGTATATCTATTAATATTTCAAGAATATTATATAATATTTTATATTATTTTAGTAAAATATTTTTAAAATATTAAATTTAATATTTTGGTAATAAAAATATACCTAAAATATTACTTAAT